GAGATGGTCCGTGCGCCCGGCAGTATAGTTGAGATTAATTGTGACATCTGTCAAACTTACACGCCACATCCAACAATATGCAGATGCTTAACTTCAAAAAATCAATGATTGATTCTATGATTCCTTCTTCTCCATCAACTATTGGTGTCCAAGTGGTAACGAGCTGCGGTAAAGCCTTGCCACGTTGGGTTCAGCGGAGTCAGTGTTCGACTCGCTCTTCTCTTTTGTCACCCGCGATTTTTTTCGTCAAGTCATTAATGACCAATAGCACCCAACCATGGACAAAACAATCAACACCTCCGTCTTATTCTCATCATTTTGTCCTACCTCAACGAGCAAAAAAGGACTTGTAAAAAGATTCAATTAATAGTTAGAGACAAAAGCAGACTCGAACTTGGGTAGTTGGCCTGGTGGCGAGCTTTATTGTGATGAGAACAGACCCTCATGCCGCTGTGTCACAGCGCTTTTGAATCGTCTCGTACACCAGGGGGTAAATGTCCTTGGCCTCAGATGGTTCTGGACACGTGTCCAGGAATTTCGATGAGATGGCGTTTCAAAACCGGCCCAGTCACAAAATTGGTGAGGGCCGTAATTGGAGCTTGCCTGACACCGGTTGAACCACGTGTGACAAACACACATACTTTGACCGGTCCCACCTCCGTCTCAGGAACAATTCAGATGTCAAAACGGTATCATGATCGTGACAGAGACGGAGTTTTCCGTCATGGGAAACAATATGGATGCCGTTCCGCTCCTGCCCGAGTGGTGGCTGTGTGCAGTCGGTCAGACAGCTCTTGCAGGCGGTATGAGATGAGTTGCTATCAATGAAACACAATCATAAAGCTTCATTATGAACCGTTATGATCAAAAATGCGGAATTAGACACCGCCGGAAACCAATCTCTCTAGTCGCTCGATTCCGTAAGTTTACGCGGCGTGGTGCCGCTAGGCGACACGCACAAACGAGGTCCTTTTGTATTGCTTTCACTCGACATGATGAGTGAATAAAAACTGAGACAACACCATAAGAAACCCCTGTAGGGGAGGCCTGAGGCCTTTACAATCTAACTACTCTATTTTATCTCAACATACATTATATTTTTTAAAGGAACAAAAATCTTCAAAACAACTTTATATAAACTAACATTACTCTTTTAATCTAATAAGCCTCTATTCAATAAAAAATGTAGAAAAATAAAAATTTAACTTCTTCTCTTTTTTTTTTTTTTTTTCAATTTTATAAATGTTTTTAACTTCTTCTGACGTAAAGAATTTTTTGTAATAAATTTTTTATCTTGATTCACTAGGTGTGGGTGGGTGGGAAGAAAAAATAGACAAACGACAAACTAGAGTTTTATTTTCTCAGAATTATGAAATAACTAATTCTGCTGAGTGAAAATTTTGAAAAAAGATAGAAAATTTTTTCGACATGAACAAATCGAAGATAGTGAACATGGAAATTGTTTACACTTTGGTATGTTACCTAGATTCAACATTCTAGAGTTCTAACTTGCCCCCATCCTTTCTTACCAGAACTTTGGGGTCGCCTGTCTTCACTTCGTTATCTTGAAATTTCTCCATCTGTCGATTCTTCGTAACTTCAACTTGACCGAAGACTTTTTGTTGCTTGTCTCTTGATATCCGACTCTGCTTATTCCACTTAGTTAATGGGACACCAACTTCAAGGAATTAGACACCGCCGGAAACCAATCTCCCTAGTCGCTCGATTCCGTAAGTTTACGCGGCGTGGTGCCGCTAGGCGACACGCACAAACGAGGTCCTTTTGTATTGCTTTCACTCGACATGATGAGTGAATAAAAACTGAGACAACACAATAAGAAACCCCTGTTTGCCGCCCGCCTATATGGTAGACTGATGATGGAGGCAATAAAGGGTCAGTATACCTCTATATCTCATATATTTATTTGTAGTTCCAAATTTATCAAATTCTATCTATTGTATTAGACACTTATTTGTACTTACAGTTACAAACGATTGGTATTACCAAATGTTACCCCAGCTCCTAGATGTCCATCGATGGATAGAGGGAATTTCTTTTGTAACGGTAATCTCATAATCGGGTGATCTCTGATGTAGGTTTTGAATGCTTCAGATGACCATCTTCCTAGATCTTGTATATAATCTTGAGGCAATCCTGCTTGAGCTAACGCTGAGGCTCCTCCCGATCTCATTGAATGACCGGATTTGTTTTTGTCGAAAAATGAATAGAAGTGTTTAAGAAACCATGATCTCGTCGGAATTACTCCTTTGCTAGTTAAGAATAGGAATGGTGATATGATGAAAGCTTCGTCTCTAATTTTCAAATATTTTAACAATGCTTCTACAGGGCATGCTCCTTCTATCGCACACCTGTTGATGATTATTGTTGATCCTAAGAAAAAGGGATCTCCTTTGTGATAAGGGAGTACGTATCTAATAAAATTGCTGCAATTTGATACTTCTACTGACAACCTCGATATCACCTTTCTTTCGTCTTTTAAATTTCTGTTATCTGGTATAGTAATTTCACCTAATCGGTGTAAAGAGTGGAATCCTACTACTAACATTGCAGTAAATAGGATGGAATCGAAATCCTTGCTTGAATGTTTTGAAACTTGGATTAGATCTGATATAGTTAGTGGTTCTTTTCGAACCATAGGGAGAGAGAATTGTTTCTTGCAACCCTTGAGAACTTTTCTGACATCTGGATGGTTTGTGATATTCGCGACTTGTGGGAAAATTGGTTGGAATGCTGATGCTATGCCAGAAAGATATGCTTCGACCGTCCTAGGTGACACCGGTCTTCCTGTTCTATGACTGACTCTTCTGCATGAAACCGATATAAAGGAAGATACGCTCTCGATAGTCGGAAAAGGTCTATAATTTTCTTCTAGACAAAATTTTAAAAATGAAATTATTGCTGAACGATATTTTGATTTTGTAGATGCTGCTAAAGCTTTATCAGCATCTGCCTTTGTTATCACGTTTAGAAGGTCTTTTTGGGATGGGGATGACATGGCAATTATGATCAGACGGAAAACCTCCTTCTGGTAGATATTTGAAAGCTTCCAACTCCTCTACTTTCGCACACGGCATCTCTTCATATAGTTCCGTAATCAAATTTCTTGATAATGCATCTGCATATATGTTCTTCTTTCCGGGTAAATGACATACCCTTACATCTACTTTGGCTTCTAGGATTTTTGAAATTAAAGCTTGAAACATATCTCTGACCTTCTCGACCGGTCTGTGTGACAGAAACAGGTCGCAGACATTTGTTGAATCTGAGCATATTAGAATCTTTTTTGCTCCTCTTTCTATCCCAATCAAGATGCCATGACCCGTAGCTGCCAATTTGGCCCAGTATATGTCTCTTGATGGCAGGGACAATCTTGCGTGAAACCCCTCGGCTGAATTCGGTAGCCAGACCCCAATTCCGTGATTGCAAGCGTCTGCTGTGCAGATGAAATCCGCGTCTTTAATTGACCACACACATGATTTGATGAATAAATTGCCTTCTGATTTTTCTAGTTCATTCGCTAACCAGTTTAGATCAGATTGAATCTTTCTATTGTGAGGTACTATTAATGATTTGTGAGATTTTCCTCCTATCTTGTCCCAAGAAGACTGTAAAGACCATCTTCCCATAGGGAAAGAGTTTAAACCCCACGACGCCCAACCTAACATTGATTGCCATTCTCTGAGTGTTCTTGATTTAGATTTCGTGAACAACCTTAACGCTGAAATTAGGTCTGCTTTTTTGTTTGATGGTAAAGTAAACATCATTTCGTTTGCTTTCACTAAATGACCTATTATTTCTAAATCTTCACCATGTACTTGCTTCTTCCATTCCCATGGAATCTTCAATAAATCGAATAACATTAGAAACTTGGCTTGATCTAGTGGAATTTGATGCCCTTTGAATGGCACTATTGAACTCGCTGGGCATACTCCCCATGTATCGTCCATTAGATTGTTGATGTGATTTAAACCTAATCTTGTTCTAGCTATCCATAAAACCAATGAAAAGAAAGAACACCATAACTTTGGTGATGCTGCTGACCCAAAGTTCGCGCATTTATCTACGTGGAAAGTGTTTCCTACTTTAACTATTTGTCTTATTTGCCATGCTAATGCCATTGCTAATATTCGGTAAGCGTTTTGAACATCTGATTTCCATAGCATAAGCCTTATACCTCTTCTCTTCATATCTACCATATAGGGAGCGAAAGAAATTAGAGAATCAAATGATACTTTTATTTTTTCTTTTATAATGAAATCATTTATCGATGGAGATCCGTAGCTCATATCCGTACACACCCTCATCTTTGATGTACCTTTCTTTTCTACTAATAACAAAGGTGAGACTTTCATGCCTTGTAATATTGTACTAAATCCTCTGGAGTATCTATTCGCTGAAACTTCTTCATCTCTTGCTTTTTCCAGTAATTGTGGATGACTTCTACAAACACCATGATTTCGTACTACTACGGTTTTGCTTGACGGTATTTTGCTCATCGGCCAGAAACCATTCTTCAGACCCGACACAACTGATTTTACGAATGGCTGATTTGGATGATCTGATAAAAGAAATTCAAACATTTTAACATCTATTGGACACTCTATCGAAAATAGCTCAGGATATTTGGATAATGCGTATTTCGCACAAGGATCGTCTTCTAATGATGGTGGAGAATCTAAAGGTGCTGCTGAGATGCTTGAGTCTATTGCGTTTGAGTAACCTAGGGAGCTTGTCCAATCCCACTCATACCCTCTTTTGTATCTTCTTATTCCAAATTCGTCATGAGATAGTTCTTTAGAAAGCCATTCTTTGGTGTGCAAATCTACTTCCTTCCTAATGGATTCCGCTGCATCTTCTTCAAGCTGAATGAGAGATCCGCTTATGAGACTCGTAACAGTCCACATAATCGCACATGTTGTGGACTCTTCCACTTGGGCATTTCTCGCTGAGACACTTATTGAGGTTCCAACCTCCACATAGCTGTTGGTTCTGTGGAAGATTTCTCGTATCTTTGACTTTTCCAGCCCATGGATGATCGACTCGTGGTTTCTTTTCTGGTCTAGATCTAGAAGATGGAATCCTTGAGGATTGTGACTGCGTATAGTTCGAACTCCTAGGTTGGCTATGACTTTCCTTGTGTTGTTTTCTGTCTGCCAACGCGAGATGTTTGAGGTGTGATAACTCGTCGCTTGCGAAATCCGCAAACGATAGGTGTCTTCTTGTAGCAAAAGCTTGGCGCAGAGCGATGTCGTATGGAATAACATCTCGCCAGTTACCCTGTTGTATATTTGCAAGATAGATCATATGTATCAGCTACTTGTATAACGATCTTATATGATCAAATTTCTTTTTGGGTATGAGAGGTATAAGTGGTATAAGGAAATATATGGACAAACCTTTTCACGGAAAGTCCTTTCCATAATTCAAAGATGTTTATCGTATTTTTTGAAAGACTCTTCTGCGCAACCCTGTGATAAAAAACAGAAGCAACATAGAAGCCTAACAATCAATAAACTAACTTCTGCGGTATGTTGGAGCGGTATAAGCTCTGCAAGTTTGTAAACTCACGAAAGCCAGGCTGAGAGTATCAACCAAGTATGAAATAGCATCTCTCCATTCTGTTGCCTCTGTGAAAGGTTTTGGTTTGATTTTTGCTGCTGGATCCGTATCTTTAGATCTTGATGCCAGGCTGAAGTTTTGCGTGGTTGGGCCTGCGTTGATCTTTTCAAGGTCGATGAATTTATACTGTAGTAAGTCTTGAACAAGAGCGTCGGGAAAGTTGTGAGATTTTCCTGAATACCAAACAAAGTTGAAAACTGCATTGAAAAGGTTATTGTCTCTGTATTCTTTGATGGCTTTATTGATGTCAATCGCTTCTTGTGATAGAGGGTGTTCTTCTGGTTTCTTGTTCTTGATAAATGACCATACATGGTTGTTCTTGCTCTTTGAAGACTCGTTCTGAAATTCGTCTGATGATGAATCGTCTTCTCTATCTTGCGTGTTTCTTTTTCTCCTTCTATCTTCCTCTCCTCTTCTACTACCTTCTTCTTGAATCCTATTTTCTCCTCTCTCTCCTTCATTTTGATTACGTCCTTCTCCTTCTTCTCGATTCGTATCTTGACGTCTATCGACTCCATTGCCATTTCCTGCCTCTTCTGGTCCATTCCGTCTCGGACGTCCAATTTGCTCGACATTCTGTAACAGCTGTGTTGGTTGAATGTATGGCGGGGAGTCTTTGATTGGGACGCTAGGATCTGGCGGTATCCCTCCGATAGGGTAGCAAAATCTGTTTGCCCTGAGGTCCAGAGCCACTGCTTCCGTTGCAAAAATCGAGAAGTGTCTGAGAAAGTGTTCATGTTCAAATGGAATCCAATTCGCGAACGTTGCTCTGAGAGTGGCCATATCGTATACTCCACTTCCCCCACCTTCATCATATTCTTGTAAAAGTGCTTGTAAACCTTCTGTAACATTTCGATTATGATTTGCCCAATTCGCAGCCATTAATTTTGAGCTATCACTTTTCTCTTCTCTTCAAACTTCCACTATTACTGAGTAACGAAAAAAAAAAAATCTTAAACGATAAAATAAAAAAAAAAAAAAAATCTGCTATATTTCATTGAATTTTGACCAGTGACTTCTGAAACTCAAATAAGAAAAAATAGACAAACGACAAACTAGAGTTTTATTTTCTCAGAATTATGAAATAACTAATTCTGCTGAGTGAAAATTTTGAAAAAAGATAGAGAAATTTTTTGACATGAACAAATCAAAGATAGTGAACATGGAAATTGTTTACACTTTGGTATGTTACCTAGATTCAACATTCTAGAGTTCTAACTTGCCCCCATCCTTTCTTACCAGAACTTTGGGGGCGCCTGTCTTCACTTCGTTATCTTGAAATTTCTCCATCTGTCGATTCTTCGTAACTTCAACTTGACCAAAGACTTTTTGTTGCTTGTCTCTTGATATCCGACTCTGCTTATTCCACTTAGTTAATGGGACACCAACTTCGACTATTGTTCATTTTGCTAACCTCCAATCATTGTTGAATTTTATGTGATTGAAACTCTCAAAGCAATTGATAACATGATTGCAATGTAAAATAACCGATTGTTCTCACTTGTCCTCCTCACAATATACTGAGACTAATCTGTTGCTGATTGAGCAAATGAAGTGTAATGATTTTTTTAAAAGCATAAAAAAAGAAAACACACACAATGGTTTGGATTTAATAAAAGAGTAGATTGCAACTATTGTCTCAGTCACATTCAAATGGATTTGCTTCCTGATCGAGAGAAAGAAGTGTAGTAACAATCGGGTTTTTTAAAAAACAAAAGAAAACGATTCTTTTTCAAGAGAAACAAAAGAAAAAAATATGAGATGATTTGAATTTAATCAAAGAGAATGAGATGACAACTCTCTTCTCTGTCATATTCAAATGACTTTTCTTTCTGATCAAGTGAAAGAAGTGCAATGTGAATAACAAAAGAAAAAGATATTGAAATTGATAAAACCATCTTGATCCATGCTTTTTGATTGACATGAAGTGTAATGATTTGGTATTTTTTTAAAAAAGGAACAAGATATAAGATGACTAGAACTTATAAAATGATCTCGTTCGATTGATTTCTGATCAACCGAATGAAATTTAAAAAAAAGATGAAACAAATTTTGAAGGTTTTTTGAAAGCTCTGACAGTTGCCGTGGTTGAAGACACCTAATTGATAAGGCGCTGATGATAAGATTTCATTGAAGATCTGATAGTCGGCGTGGGTGAAGATGACATGTTCCCTTCAAGGAGCACCTTATCAAGTCGAGGTTGAAAGCCAGCAACAAGCCTTTTAACTCACCTAAAAATCATTTGTCAACCTCTTTATCCAAAGGGAAATTGTGAAATCAAACCCTACCTCTTTCCTTTGTTGGTGTTCCGGGCTCGCATAACAAAGACTCTACAAATGCAGCACTGGTGCCAGTGGGTGGTATCATTATAATGAGATGTTGTGATGAACTTGAAGATGAGCAACTGAATCGGAAGGAAAAATCAGAATTTTGCTCAAGTTTTTTTTTGAACTGCAAGAAATTGGCCTCGATCAATTAAAAAAAATTGCATCCACCTGTCAAAAAAAAATCTGAAGTTGTTGAGGTTTTGTTGAGGACGTGGAAATGAAATTTGTCCAAAAAAACACAAGTTCCATCCACCTGCGACTCACCTTGACTTACACACAACTCATGTTTCCCAGCTCTCAACGTTATCAAAGGAGCCCAGTAGGATCCAATTACGATCGACTATCAACATCCATCATACCAAGGACCCGCTCAGCGTCTGATGCCTTTGGGATGGACAGCCGCCACCCAAACACCCCTAACCTGCGGCACCGCTCCTCAAAGAATGGGCCCATCCAGAACAAAAGGCGTAAGTACCTCTCTTACTATATGTATGATCTTCACTGACATCATACACTGTTGTAGCTTTTACAGATGGATCATGAAGTACAACTCCCGAATCTTACCAGGCAAAGAGACCTTTGAACATATCAAAACATCCAACAACATTCAGATTATGACCCAAGAGGCCTTAAAAGAGTGGATCATTCAAGGTGAACCACCGTTAGCATGATAAATAATAATGTACAACGACCCAAAAACATGTAAAGGAAGAATGATTTTGAAGACTTGTGTTGCTTCTTTCATTGACTTCTTCATTCATCTGATTTCAAGTTTCTCTAACACCTTTTGAAACTCCTTCATAACCTCTTCAGCAGGAAGATCTTGTAGTTATTTCCTACCTACTACATACAATTTATCTGGCTAAAAGCATGTTTTGTGAAATTTGGTCCTTTAAAATGAAAGAAAAAACAATCCCATCGATGCTTTGTAACATTCACTGCGTTTGTATCGTTTCACCGTAGCTTTTCACCGCAAAAGCGGTGGAACGATACCGTACCTGCGGCCCTCTGGCTGATTCTGTTCCAGGCCAGGAACAGCGAGGCCACGTGTCAGTCTCGTTCCGGCCTTGAACTCACTGTTCCGGGGACATATCAGAACTTCCCTGGAACAGTTATTGAAATGGTCTCGGGCGGTTTCCCATCCAGTGATTCTTCCGTCCAGGACAATCCTGTTCGGTCCCCGCTGGACACGCTCTAGGCACGTCCCAAATCAATAGAAAAGTGACACGTGCCTGTGACGCTGTCGAATCAGGTTTGGGACGTGCCATTTACCCCCTGGTGTATTCAATACCGCAAGAGCACCGCACTATGTTGCAGTTGTGGTGCGGTTGCGTAGCGCTTTTGGGCGCCGCAATAGCAACGCAATATAGTGCGGTGCCAGCGCTCCGCAATCCGGGTTCAAAAAACCCCTTGGTCAGAAACCCGCACCGCAATTGCGGTCGGTTTTTGACGGTTATTTAGGGCAAATATTGCGGAAATAGGGCAATATTGCGCATTTTCCGCAATATTTGCCCAACCGCTCCGCAACGGCAAGTTACAAAAAAAACACCCCATTGCGGAGTGGTTGCGTAGCGTAATAATGCGCCGACTGCGCAACGCAATGGAAATAGGTCAAAATCCATTGCGTTGCGTAGCGCTTGCGGTGTTGGTGTATTCTTTGCTATCAGTACGACCACGCCTTAGGAATATATATGTATAAATATGAGATCTGGCATGTAAGTTTGACAGATGTCACAATTAATCTCAACTATACTACCGGGCGCACGGACCATCTCTCAATTTTGAAAACGAGTGGATTTCAAGACTTTTGAAATCTACTGTACACCGATTGGGAACATCTCGGTCCAAATGTATTTCACTTTGAATTCACCTGAATCATACACCAGGGGGTAAACTTCCTTGGCCTCGGATCGTTCTGGAAACGTGTCCAGGAATCCTGTTGCGAGAACCAAGACAAAGCGGTTCCGGTAACGAAATGAGGAGA